TCAAAAAACAATTTAAACCATTCTTTCAAGTTGACATATAATAATACCACCCCTTACTCAACCCTAGTAGGCCAAGAGATGGTTAAAGGTGTCCTTAGGTATAACTCCTGCTTTATCAGTTCCATATCCAGATACCAAGGCATTGGTCATGTGATCCCAGTTGGGTTGGGTCACTGATGTCTAGGTAGAGCCGCCCAACCAGCTGCTTCCTTTTACCATCACTTCAGCTGAGCCCAGGTGTCCTCTGCCTTGCCATTTGGTCAAATAACTTGAACCAGAGTTGGGTCAACATATTCATCAAAGCAGGTATGTTTTTAAGCACATCTTTTACTGTCTGCGGTGGAGGGTTATTGCACTTTGCAATTTGAACTTTATCTACATCGTATATATATATACATATATGCAAGTTTCATTTTCAATCCCCTTTTAGCTCACAACAATTAACGGAGCTCCCGTTTGCTAAACAATTTCATCAGCACAATTAATGGTTGAACTGGATGGACATTTGTCTTTTTTTTTTCCAGCCAGACTATGTAATAGATGCTGATAAATCTCCATTTATCTTTCTGCGAGAGCATTTCATGTCTGTTTTCAAAACCAAAACGAATGACACGGGCCTGTTTCACACGGGCTTCAGTTTGTATAAGAGCAGTTTGAACAGCGAGCTTTGGCAAGGCGTTTGCAGATCTCTCAGCAAGCTTTGTTGATGTTTTAGGGCCAGTTCACCCTACAAAAATGCACTCCGGATGCGTTTTTGCTTATAGTTCATACCACGCTCCATTCCGGTGCATTTTGGATGCATTTTGCTATGTTCCAGTACAGTTCTGTGCAGAAAAAAATGCAGCGTGTTCTACTTTTTTTCTGCATTGGAGCACACTGGAACTGACTGCACTGGTGTGACGCTAGGTTCACATCTGCATGTGTGGTGCCGCACGAAAAAACACCCGCACAGAGAAATGCGGACCCGCGGGCGGGTGCCATTAGTTCGCCGGCACTGGAAAACGCAACCGTACGGGGAACCGAGGTTGCCGTTCCTGCTGCGTTTTCCAAAGAAGTGCAAGGACTTCTTCCCTGCATGGCACGGGAGTCCATTCAAATGAATGGGCTCTCATGCCCGTGCAAAACACGGCCGCACAGATGTGAACCAGGGCCATTGGAATACATAGGAAATACCGTGCATGCATTTTTGATACAGAAAAAAAAAGCACCCGGCTGCATCTGGTGTGAACCAGCCCTTAAAGTACCATTTAACTTCAGTTTGTAAATGTTGAACGTGTGGGCCATGCCGGTGACTTCTTGACACCTCTCACAGAGATAGATCTGCTCTTACTATTGTTACTCTCATGCTTTCTCTACTAGCTTTTCATTTTCTTCTGCTCATACACTTCTTTATATCTACCTTGACATTTGTACCTGCGGATTGTAAACGTTTTAATATATAAATGCTTTTTGCAGAATAATGTTGTGATTATACTACTGAATTTGCTCCGAAACTAATTTGTATAATTGTGTACTACATGATATGATGTCATGCCTTCTTGCAGTTCATTTCTGTTCATATGTTCTGCTTTTTGTTCTTGTTTTTATTTAAAAAAAAAAAAGTTGAACGTGGATCCTAATATGAGTGTTGATTGCCACTTTAAGCAAGCTGCTAGCAAGCTTTAGCAGGCTTTCAAAAAGTTTCAAGAAGCGGTGAAGCCTGCTAGCAGCTTACTTAAAGTGGCAATCAGCACTCCCATTAAGATCTGTGTTCAGCATTTACAAACTGGAGCTGAACGGTACTTTAAAAGCTTGCGAAAAGCTCTGCAAATGCTTTGTCAATGCTTGCTCTTCACACTGCTCCTATACAAGCTGAAGTCCGAGTGAAACAGGCCATAGGCCAGTAAAATCTGTGCATGCACATGTGGCAAACTTTATCAGAACCCTGCAATTGATTATGCCTTTTGCAGTCATATAGACCAGACTGAGGCACTTTTGTTTGCCCCCAGATAGGTAGGAGATTTGAGATCTGTCTGCTGTGAGCCGAACACCCATAATTTGTAAGGAGATAATGCTGAACCTCTTATGGGTGATGCAATTTAATGGCGCAATTCCAGCCGTTTATATTGTATTAGCTTGCATCTGTCATAAATATCATGCAATGCCCGAGCGGAGAACAATTTTGTTTTAAACTTGCTAGACTCAAAGCATTTCATTGGACCAAAGTTGACATTGTTGAATTAAATAAAGCACCTTTTACATTCCTAGTGTTCCCTGAAAAGTACTACGCCTCCGGGTCATTTCAGCAGAATAGACCAGTGCATGAACCGGCAGACATTTTCAGATGCAATCCAAAGTTCGTGAGATGGTTTTCTTACGAAAATTGGATTTCTTCGCAGAATGCCTGGCAGGGACTCTTCAACTCCTTCAATTACCACTACGACACATGGTTGCATTCAACAAAAGGAGTCAATTAGGACGAGCCATTGCTTCTCTAACCTGGCAGAGGTGCACAGACCGCTCTTCGACAGAAAAACTCACAGCGCAGGGTCATCATGCCGCAATACAAAAAAAAAAAAAAAAAAAAAATACTCCTGTCATGGTTTTTAATTTTTTCTGTGTTTTATTTTGTAAATATAATCGGATATGTGGGCTTGAGTATACAAAATGTAAATATATTTCATGTATTTGTACTAATTCTGATCCATTTTGCTGTATAGCCTAGATGTGCAATGCAGATAAATCTATATATAACTGTGTATGGTAACCTTGCACCACTGAAAATGTTAGTGAACGGGATCTAACAATAAAAGTTCAAGCTGTGCATTAACAGACTGCTGACTCCTGTCTTCATGGCTTTGTACAGGGACGTCGGGCAGCAAGTCAAATCAGTCTGTGATTGGCTAGTGTCATTCCGGCTACTTGGATCCTTTACTAGCCCAAACCTCTCTGCTTGCCCTCTTCATTTTCCTGCCACCCCATGTGCATGCTAGAGTAAGGAAAGGCCTGTGTAAGTTTTAAGCCAATCATGCCAAAGCTTACTTGTTTTTTAAAATTAATTTCAGGTACTTCTATAGCGCCATCAATTTACATATATATTGTACATTCACATCAGTCCCTAACCCCCCGAGGAGTGTACAATCTAAGGTCCCTAACCCCCCGAGGAGTGTACAATCTAAGGTCCCTAACTCACATTCATACATACACATACTAGGGACAATTTAGACAGCACCGGGATTCTGGGCTCACACGCTGTATGAGGATTGCACCTTGTGTGTTTGCAGCTCCGGGATTCTGGACTCACATGCTATATGAGGATTGCACTTGTGTGTTTGCAGCTCCGGGATTCTGGGCTCACATGCTGTATGAGGATTGCACGTGAGTGTTTGCAGCGGCAGGATTCTGGGCTCACGTGCTGTATGAGGATTGCACCTAAGAGTGTTTGCAGCACTGGGATTCTGGGCTCACATGCTGTATGAGGATTGCACGTGAGTGTTTGCAGCGGCAGGATTCTGGGCTCACGTGCTGTATGGGGATTGCACCGAAGAGTGTTTGCAGCACTGGGATTCTGGGCTCACATGCTGTATGAGGATTGCACGTGAGTGTTTGCAGCAGCAGGATTCTGGGCTCACATGCTGTATGAGGATTGCACTTGAGTGTTTGCAGCTCCAGGATCACATGTTGTATGAGGATTGCACTTGAGTGTTTGCAGCAGCGGGATTCTGGGCTCACATGCTGTATGAGGATTGCACTTGGTGTTTGCAGCTCCTGGGATTCTGGGCTCACATGCTGTATGAGGATTGCACTTGAGTGTTTGCAGCTCCGGGATTCTGGGCTCACATGCTATATGAGGATTGCACTTAGAAGTACGAATCATCAGCAGAGTGGATTGGAAGTGCATGAGGACATCATTCACTATATGGGACTGTTTGGACATTGGTGGATTAGTGCTATTTTTATTTTTCATTTTGATTGATTCGATATACTTTGTCATATATTTGCACAATATCACACAAGACACAGTGGTTTAGTACACATTTATAGTTTATTCTGCAGTCCGGCACATACATTATTTTATTCCAATCTTTTAAAACTTGATTTCATTTATACTTCCTGTTCTATATGTACAAGAAGACAGTCCCAAATGTATACTGTGCTTCCAGTTTAGTACTGCAATACAGCATGTCTGTCAGTGTACCTAGACTGATCACAAAGAATATAGGTGGCTTATCTCGTAACTATCTTTGTCTCAGCAGGTTTGCAGAGAGCAGTTTTATAAAATGAAGGCAGAAGGAAAGATTCAGTAACCAGGTCATGAAAATAGACACAAAGCAGGACCAGACATCTAAAAACACAACAGTCACATCGAAATGCGTTTTAAGGTAAATTTTACACGACTAAAAGAAATCTTTCCTGAGAGATATAAGGCGACTGCCAGTGAATGCAGACCCTGCATTCACTCACTGTATCTGCTCTCCCCGGACCCTGCATTCACTGTATCTGCTCTCCCCGGACCCTGCATTCACTGTATCTGCTCTCCCCGGACCCTGCATTCACTGTATCTGCTCTCCCCGGACCCTGCATTCACTGTATCTGCTCTCCCCGGACCCTGCATTCACTGTATCTGCTCTCCCCGGACCCTGCATTCACTATATCTGCTCTCCCCGGACCCTGTGCATTCACTATATCTGCTCTCCCCGGACCCTGCATTCACGGTATCTGCATTCACTGTATCTGCTCTCCCCGGACCCTGCATTCACTGTATCTGCTCTCCCCGGACCCTGCATTCACTGTATCTGCTCTCTCCCCGGACCCCGCATTCACTGTACCCTCTCCCCGGACCCCGCATTCACTGTATCCGCTCTCTCCCCCGGACCCCGCATTCACTGTATCGCTCTCCCCGGACCCCGCATTCACTGTATCCGCTCTCCCCGGACCCCGCATTCACTATATCCGCTCTCCCCGGACCCCGCATTCACTATATCCGCTCTCCCCGGACCCCGCATTCACTATATCCGCTCTCCCCGGACCCCGCATTTACTATATCCGTCTCCCCGGACCCCGCATTCACTATATCCGGTCTCCCCGGACCCTGCATTCACAATATCTGGTCTCCCCGGACCCTGCATTCACTATATCCGTCTCCCCGGACCCTGCATTCACTATATCCGGTCTCCCCGGACCCTGCATTCACTATATATCTGGTCTCCCCGGACCCCGCATTCACAATATCGCTCTCCCCGGACCCTGCATTCACAATATCTGGTCTCCCCGGACCCCGCAATCACTATATCCGCTCTCCCCGGACCCTGCATTCACTATATCTGGTCTCCCCGGACCCTGCATTCACTATATCCGGTCTCCCCGGACCCTGCATTCACTATATCCGGTCTCCCCCCTGCATTCACTATATCCGGTCTCCCTGGACCCTGCATTCACTATATTCGCTCTCCCCGGACCCTGCATTCACTATATCCGCTCTCCCCGGACCCTGCATTCACTATATCCGCTCTCCCCGGACCCTGCATTCACTATATATCCGCTGTCCCCCGGACCCTGCATTCACTATATTCGCTCTCCCACAGTACGCAGCACATGGAAATACAATTATTTTAGTAAATATAAACTGCTAAATACCTTTTCTCATCAGCAGTTAGAACAGTCTTGTGACTTCTATCAGTGTCCAGCAGATTGCTTGTTAAAGCTTGTAGGAGGAGTTTTCGTTCTGCTCTAGGAAGATGCAGAACCCCTGACCACTGTCTGGACAGTGCTGATGTCCCTGTGTTGATCACATGCACTCTCTCAAGTGACTCCACAGGATATGTCTTATCAGGCAATAAGAAGGGGAGGATCAGAGAAGACAGGATCAAACAGCCTTTTTACACAATGCAGAGTATTAACCCCTAGGTTCCACAGTGAGTATAACAAGCATGCTTTACTGCATCTACAGACTGATTGTACTGTTGTGGGTTTAGTAACGCTTTAAGCTTAGTGATCCAGAAAGCCTTGAAGTCAGGCAAGTAGCGTTTTCAGAGGCAGATTAGTGATCGCATCCTCCATCTTTTTCTCCATACAGGCTTTCCTATTACCTGGGTGTTCAGGCCCATTGTCCTGTATAGAGATATTTTCCATGTAGAGGGTTAATAGGCGGCATTGAGAGTCAGATGTGTACATGTTGCCACACAATGTGGGGATTTGCTGCTCAGAATGGAATGTGTCCAGCTCGTTTATTAAGTCATTTTGACTCAGCAGATTTGTAGATCTCCACCCTGCCAGCCGGGAGCACAGCGAGACGCCTGGGATCACGTACAGCAACCAGCACATGGAGGTGTTGGCTTCACTGTGGGGTCCTGGCTAAATATGTTCCATCTCCTCTATGAACACAAACCAGCTGATCACTTAAAGTGACCGCAACCACAAATGTGTTCAAAATATGGTGGTAAAAATCTAGTCTAAGGATCGTTCTGATTTAGAACCACTTTTATCACCAATTTTAAATTGTTCCAGTGGGCCTCCTGTGTCACGCTTGATCACCATGTGTCGGCAGACTCTGATCTTGGGTCCCAGGGGAAGCTTATGGTGGCTGCGAGGAATTGGGGGGGTTTTTTACTAAAACTGGAGAGTACAACATCTGGTGCAACTCAACATGGAAACCAGTCAGCTTCCAGATTTTATTGCCAAAGCAATGCTCCCATGCTCACCTCCAGGACTTCTACAGAGCCTCTCCCATCCTCCGGAACTCCCTAGCCCAACTTGCCCAGCTATCTCCTACTGGGGGCCGATTTACCAAAACAGATGAGAGAAAAATCTGGTGCAGCTCTGCATAGAAACTAATCAGCTTCCAGGTTTTATTGTCAAGCAGCTTCCTGGTTTTATTGTCAAAGCAATGTTCACCTCCAGGACTTCTCCAGAGCCTCTCCCATCCTCCAGAACTCACTAGCCCAATTTGCCCAGCTATCTCCTACTGGGGCCGATTTACCAAACACAGATGACGGCAAAATCTGGTGCAGTTCTGCTTGGAAACCAATCAGCTTCCAGGTTTTATTGCCAAAGCAATGCTCACCTCCAGGACTTCTCCAGAGCCTCTCCCGTCCTCCAGAACTCACTAGCCCAACTTGCCCAGCTATCTCCTATTGGGGCTGATTTACCAAAACGGATGAGAGCAAAATGTGGCGCAGCTCTGCTTGGAAACCAATCAGCTTCCAGGTTTTATTGTGAAAGCTTCATTGAACAAGCTGAGGTTAGAAGCTGATTGGCTGCCATGCACAGCTGCACCAGATTCTGAGTGCTCCAGTTTTAGTAAATCTGTTTCTGGTGCTGTTTTAGCTTGTTTAGCTGTAGTGCATCCTTCCGGCATTTTAGTGTGTCTGGGAGGGAGAGGTGCAGCACCCAGCCTGTCAAAGTCTATGGCAGGCTGCAGCTGGATGGGGCTGAACAATGTACCAAGTGGTACCTGCATTCAGCAGCCTGTATGTTCCGGGACAAAGATCTTTCATGAGCGCACTAAAATGCCAAGAGAGATGTGCTGCAGCTGGATGGTCCCATGTGCAGGGGGCCTTAGGGTGTGTTTGCATGTGTCTGTTTACCTGCAGTATAAGGGCTCCATGTACAAGGGGCATTTGGAAAACCCTTCTGAACGATGGAAACTGATGGAAAACGTAGGTTAAAAACCGTCAGTTTAGCCGCGTTTGCATACCCGTTTATGTGAGTTTTGCGTTTTAGAAGCATTTTTAAAAGATAACATCCGGAGACCTTCCAAAATGCCCAGAAGGCACTGAAAAATAGTAAATAATTAACTATTTCAGACATTTTGAGAGGAATAGAGAGAGCAGAAGCAGAGAGAGCAGTATGTGTTGAGATCAGGGGCGGACTGACCATTTGGAAACTCGGGCACTTCCCGAGCGCCCGGGGTAAGTAGGGGGCCCCATGAGATGCCCCTGGTACCTTTTTCATAGGCTTTTTTGAGTTTGGGCAAGAACACAGGGGCCCCATGATCCACTATTGCCCAGGAGCCCCATGAGTTTGTCAGTCCGCCCCTGGTTGAGATGACCTGTCTTTTCTGATTGTATTCACTATGGATCCCATCATGAGGATAATGCGGCGCGTTCTACCATTTTTTTTTCTTCATGCGAATCCTGGAACTGACTGCGCTGGTGTATCGGGTCCATTACATGGAAAACGCTTCGCATGCATTTCTGATGATGAAAAAAAGACTCTGGACAGCATCTGGACATGGAACCGTTAAAAACGCTTCTGAACGCAAACGCTTATAAACGCGGTTAACCGCGTTTACAAGCGTTTGAAACACCGGTATAATCTACTCCTGGACGCAAGTTTGGTGCGCTGATCTTGGCCAGACTGCATGGCACACCAGATGCTGTGTTGCAACCAAGTCCACCCTTTGCAAAAAATAAATGATAATAATAAATGCAAGTGATTTTTTTTTTTTTTTTTTTTACGTATTTTAGTAAGATGTCAGATTTTGCACTCTCCAGTTTTAGTAAATGACCCTCCTAGTGTCGGTTGGCGCAGTACAATAGCATGTTTTTTTTTTGTGCATTTTACTGTGTTGGGAAACCCAAAGGAATAAATTGCAGTGCATCAAACATGCATGTACCGTGTTCTGCTGCTTTGGCAACAGGTATTAGCAAGTCTTGGTCAATGGCTGTTAACTCTATAGACTCCGAATGGAAAATCGGATTGGAAGTCTGTATACAAATAATAGGTCAGTTCACACAGGGAGCACATGATGACTCATGGAAGAGAACCTGTCTTGTGCCACAAAAACACAGCTCAGTGTACTTGTGTACACCTAAATAAGACCTACCGTATTATTGCTCCATAAGATGCACTTTTTTTCCCTCAAAAAAACTGAGGGGAAATGTCTGTGCATCTTACGGAGCGAATATGGAGCCAGTATTCCCCCCCATCGATGGCGCTGGCATCTTTAGGGTGGGCACCCGACTGTGACAGTTTGCAGCTTCACAGCTGGGTGCCCACTATGGGGAAGTGGGAAGCGGGTACCTGTCAAATTCGGGTACCCGCTCCCAAAAGGTTTGCAGTCTCTGGTCATCCCCTGCACTGTGTCCGCAGTCTCTGGTCATCCCCTGCACTGTGTCCGCAGTCTCTGGTCATCCCCTGCACTGTGTCCGCAGTCTCTGGTCATCCCCTGCACTGTGTCCGCAGTCTCTGGTCATCCCCTGCACTGTCTCCGCAGTCTCTGGTCATCCCCTGCACTGTGTCCGCAGTCTCTGGTCATCCCCTGCACTGTGTCCGCAGTCTCTGGTCATCCCCTGCACTGTGTCCGCAGTCTCTGGTCATCCCCTGCACTGTCTCCGCAGTCTCTGGTCATCTCCTGTACTATGTCCGCAGTCTCTGGTCATCTCCTGCACTGTGTCCGCAGTCTCTGGTCATCTCCTGCACTGTGTCCGCAGTCTCTGGTCATCATCTCCTGTACTGTGTCCGCAGTCTCTGGTCATCATCTCCTGTACTGTGTCCGCAGTCTCTGGTCATCATCTCCTGCACTGTGTCCGCAATCTCTGGTCATCTCCTGTACTGTGTCTGCAGTCTCAGGTCATCTCCTGTACTATGTCCGCAGTCTCAGGTCATCTCCTGTACTGTGTTCGCAGTCTCTGGTCATCTCCTGTACTGTGTCTGCAGTCTCTGGTCATCTCCTGTACTGTGTCTGCAGTCTCTGGTCATCTGTACTGTCCGTAGTCTCTGGTCATCATCTCCTGTACTATGTCTGCAGTCTCTGGTCATCTGTACTGTGTCCGCAGTCTCTGGTCATCATCTCCTGTACTATGTCTGCAGTCTCTGGTCATCTCCTGTACTATGTCCACAGTCTCTGGTCATCTCCTGTACTATGTCCGCAGTCTCTGGTCATCTCCTGTACTGTGTCCGCAGTCTCTGGTCATCTCCTGTACTATGTCCGCAGTCTCTGGTCATCTGTACTGTCCACAGTCTCTGGTCATCTCCTGTACTGTGTCCGCAGTCTCTGGTCATCTCCTGCACTGTGTCCGCAGCCCATTGGTTCAGAATATTTTTTTTCTTGTTTTCCTCCTCTAAAACCTAGGCGCGTCTTATGGAGCGAACAATACAGTAAATCATTAGAACTAATTCACAAGCTGTACTGTATCGGGGTTTTTTTCTGTGATTGTTCTGCACTTGTGCCAAAAACTTTTCTGTCCTCATAGTGGATGCTGCCCTTATGAAAGGATTTGATCATAGTGATTGCTGAAACATACATGAAATGAGCCATTACAACACCACTACTTCCCTCTATAGAGCGTTAGCACACACAGGCCAATGTGAAACGTCATTACAAAATACTGGACGACATTGCCTCATCCAGCCTGTACAATTCAGAGTGAGAAGTGGCTTCTAGGTTTGGCCTCTTCTTCTCTCTGGGATTGATATGTGTGAACAAATACAAAGTTGGCAATTAATTTTCAGATTCTTAGTGCCAATACTATAACTGGCAGTGGAAACTCTGAAACATCTGTGAGGTTTGTTATGGCAGTACAGTGCATGGAGTGTGACACCTAACGCTGCAAATAATTATTCAGCATGGACACTAAATGTGCTGCGAACTAGAAATAGTCAATGTCTAGGATAACCTCTGAGAACGGAGTTGAAAACAATTTTGATTGGTTATTATTATTATACAGTATTTATATAGCGCCAATAGGTTTGCTCAGCACTGTACAATATAGTGGGGACAGAACATGAGACAGTACAGTAACAATACAATACACGAGGGGTTCGAGGGCCCTGCTCCTTGGAGCTTACAATCTAGGAGGGAGGGGATAGTGGTACAGGAGGAGGTGGCTGTGGGGGATGGAGTGGTAGGAGGAGTGGAGAATCGGCTGTTAGGTGAGGGCGGGGTAGGCTTTCCTGAAGAGATGGGTTTTCAGGTTGCACCTAAAACCTAAAGGTGAGGAGGGAAGGTGACAGTCTGATGGATTGGGGTAATGAGTTCCAGAGGATGGGGAAGTCCTGGAGAAGTCCTGCAGTCGGGCGTGGGAGGAGGAGACCAGGGAGCTAGAAAGTAGGAGGTCTTGTGAGGAGCGAAGATTACGGGTTGGGTGGTATTTGGGTATCAGGTCGGTGAAGTAGTTTGGGGCAGCGTTATGAATGACTTTGTATGTCTGTGTTAGTATTTTGAATTTGATGCGTTGGGCAATCGGGAGCCAGTGGAGGGATTGACAGAGGGGGGTGGCAGAAGCGGAGCGGTTGGTAAAGGTGGATGAGTCTGGCCGCTGAGTTCAGGATAGACTGAAGCGGGGATAGTCTGTGATGAAGTAGGCCGTGAGGAGGGAGTTGCAGTAGTCCAGACGTGAGATAATAAGGGAGTGAACGAGTTAGTTTAGTAGTGTCTGGGGTTAGGAACGAACATATTTTGGAGATGTTGCGGAGGTGGAGTCTGCATGAGTTTGCCAGTGATTGGACATGGGGCTGGAAGGACAGGTTTGAATCTAGAGTGACACCTAGGACTTTGGCTTGCAGGGTGGGACTGATGTTGGTTGTGATGGAGAGGGGGTGGGGGGGAGGGGGGCACAGGCTGGGGGGAAAATTAGGAGCTCGGTTTTAGAAAGGTTTAATTTGAGGAAGTGGAGTGACATCCAGTCTATGTCGTTCAGCAGGTGGGTGATACGGGCGGAGAGTGAAGGGGTGAGGAGAGGTAGATTTGCCTGTCATCGGCGTAGAGGTGATAGTTGAAGCCGTGGGAGTGTATCAGTTGGCCGAGGGAGTTGATGTGTGATGTTTGTAATTAAGCCAGTCTTGTTAATCAGGTACCCTGCCACACTACACAGTCAGGTACCGGGACCTCTTTGTAGGGGTACACTGCAATTTAATCTGAATTCCAGCTAGTGTTATCAATGATAGTGAATGCGGGGCCCGGGGAGAGCGGATATAGTGAATGCGGGGTCCGGGGAGAGCGGATATAGTGAATGCGGGGCCCGGGGAGAGCGGATATAGTGAATGCGGGGCCCGGGGAGAGCGGATATAGTGAATGCGGGGCCCGGGGAGAGAGCGGATATAGTGAATGCGGGGCCCGGGGAGAGCGGATATAGTGAATGCGGGGCCCGGGGAGAGCGGATATAGTGAATGCGGGGCCCGGGGAGAGCGGATATAGTGAATGCGGGGCCCGGGGAGAGCGGATATAGTGAATGCGGGGCCCGGGGAGAGCGGATATAGTGAATGCGGGGCCCGGGGGAGAGCGGATATAGTGAATGCGGGGTCCGGGGAGAGCGGATATAGTGAATGCGGGGTCCAAAGCGAGTGGATATAGTGAATGCGGGGTCCGGGAGAGCGGATATAGTGAATGCGGGGTCCGTGGAGAGCGGCTATAGTGAATGCGGGGTCCGTGGAGAGCGGCTATAGTGAATGCGGGGCCCGGGGAGAGCGGATATAGTGAATGCGGGGTCCGGGGAGACCGGATATAGTGAATGCGGGGCCCGGGGAGAGCGGATATAGTGAATGCGGGGCTCGGGGGAGAGCGGATATAGTGAATGCGGGGTCCGGGGAGAGAGCGGATATAGTGAAGCCGGGGAGACCAGCTTCCCTGTCCCTGCTGAAGAAAAGCTTCCCACAACATGATGCTGCCACCACCATGTTTCACGGTGGGGATGGTGTGTTCAGGGTGATGTGCAGTGTTAGTTTTCCCCCACACAGCATTTTGCTTTTAGTCCAAAAAGTCCAATTTTTGTCTCATCTGACCAGAGCCCCTTCTTCCACATTTGCTGTGTCCCCCACATGGCTTCTCCCAAACGGCAAATGGGACTTCTTATGGCTTTCTTCCAACAATGGCTTTCTTCTTGCCACTCTTCCATAAAGGTCAGATTTGTGGAATGCACGACTAATAGTTGTCCTGTGGACAGATTCTCCCACCTGAGCTGTGGATCTCTGCAGCTCCTCCAGAGTTCCCATGGGCCCTTTTGGCTGCTTCTCTGATTAATGCTCTCCTTGCCCGGCCTGTCAGTGTAGGTGGATGTCCATGTCTTGGTAGGTTTGCAGTTGTGCATTTTCGGATGATGGATTGAACAGTGCTCGTGAGATGTTCAAAGCGTGGGATATTTTTTCTATAATGTAACCCTGCTTTAAACTTCTCCACAACTTTATCCCTGACCTGTCTGGTGTGTTCCTTGGCCTTCATGATGCTGTTTGTTCACTAATAAACCTCTGAGGGCTTCACAGAACAGCTGTATTTATACTGAGATTACACACAGGTACTAATTAGGTTACTTCTGAAGGCAGTGGGTTCCACTAGATTTTAGTTAGGGGTATCAGAGTAAAGGGGGCTGAATACAAATACACGCCACACAGTTCAGATATTTATTTGTAAAGAATTTTGAAAACCATTTTCTCATTTTCCTTCTACTTCACAATTATGTGCCACTTTGTGTTGGTCTATCCCATAAAATCCCAATAAAATACATTTACGTTTTTGGTTGTAACATGACAGAATGTGGAAAATTTCAAGCAGTATGAATACTTTTTCAAGGCACTGTTCTTACCTAATCCTCAAAGTGCAAAACCGGTCTCTGCTGCTCCTAGCCCTCCCCCCCCGCCATTGCTAGCGGTCTTGAGAATGGACTGTTCCTGAAGTTATCATGCGCATAGACCAGCTGTGGACGTGAGGACTGCAGGAAGGCCTCACCTGTCAATCGATGGGTCCCGGCCGTTGATTCCCCACCGGCACCTGGTGATCGCAGAGTATCTCCAACGGGGGAGAGGTCTGTATGTAAACAATACAGATCTCTCCCTTGTCAGCTCCTGCACACTGCTTTGTATGGCTCTACATAGCACAGCCATACAAATAGTAGTGTGCTTACATTGGAAAGCACACCCACCGCCCCATAGTAAAAACAGCACACAGTTAACCCTTTGATCGCCCCAGATGTTAACCCCTTTATGCCCAGTGCCATTAGTACAGTGTCAGTGCTTTTTATTAGCACCGATCACTGTATTAGTGTCACTGGGGATGTCAGTGACACTAAGTCAGTTCCCCCCCAGCTATGTCGCTGATCGCCCGCCATTCCTAGTAAAAAAAAAAAAAAGTCCCAATATATATATATCGCCATTTGTAGACGCTATAACTTTCACGTAAACCATCTATTTACACGTATTGGAATGGTGTCAATCACCAGGCCCGCCTGGAGATTACCGCCGGCGCCTGGTGATTAGCGGCGATCACTGACAGAGAGAAGGGCTGCTTTGTTTACCAACAGTCGTCCTCCCCATCAGTCTGGGCACACTGCTCGGGATGGCTGAGCAGAGCCATTCTGATCCGTGCGCTTACAGTGAAGAACATACCCCCGCCCCCTAGTAAAACACTCCCATCACACAGTTAACCCTTTGATTGCTCCTCATGTTAACCCCTTCCTCCCCATTGTCAGTGTAGTGTCAGTGCTTTCTTTTAAGCACTGATCACTGTATTGGAGTCACTGGGGATGCCAGTGACACCAAGTCAGTTCCCCCCCCCCCCCGTGTCAGAATGCCTGTCGCACTCCCCCTAT